AGCACCCAGCCTGGGAGACAATGAAAAGAAGTGGGAGACAAATGAAAGGAAGTGGGAGACAAGCCAGCCGCGAACCCGACCAGACCATCCAGCACCAACGCGACCATTCTTTAAAGCGTTGAGAACAGTAAACTGTTTGGGGAAAAATTGAAGTTTCCCTAACTTGTCCTCAGCTTGCGACCCAGGAACCAATGTCAGCACTGCACGGCCAAAAACAAGGTCCAAACGAAACCAGCTCTAGCGGGGTCAAAGACGAAGCGCCAATGGCTCACCTACTAAAGCACAAGGCTCTCACTACCAGTGTCAAGAACGTTGAGCCCTCTCGCGACCGTTTTCACGCTCGCGGATGGGTGAAGGCTCAAGGCCTAAAATTCGAACCGAAAGGTCCGACCACGGTACCTGGTTGCTACAGGTGCAAGTGTCCCTCATGAAACCTCAAGAACCTGGTTTGTTGTCTTCGCAATACATGGCCAGCGGAAAAGGGCGGACACCACCAGTGAGAGGTTTGGGAGACACATGAATAGAAATGCTGCATGGCCAACGGACAAGGGCGGACACTAGCAGTGACAGACCTGGGAGATGAATGGAAATGCTGCATGGCCAGCGAAAAAGGGCGGACACCAGCAGTGACAGACCTGGGAGACAAATGAATAGAAATGTTGCATGGCCAACGGAAAAGGGCGGACACCAGCAGTGACAGACCTAGAAGACAAATGAATAGAAACAGCGAAAAAGGGCGGACACCACCAGTGACAAGCCTGGGGGACAAATGAATAGAAATGCTGCAAGGCCAGCGGAAAAGGGCGGACACTAGCAGTGCATGGGGGACAAATGAATAGAAACAGCGGAAAAGGGCGGACACCACCAGTGACAGACATGGGAGACAAACGAATAGACATGTCACCAGCAGTGCAGGGCTGGGAGACAAACGAATAGAAATGCTATATGGCCAGCAGAAAAGGGCGGACACCAGCAGTGACAGGCCTGGGAGACAAATGAATAGAAATGGTGCATCGCCAGCGGAAAAGGGCGGACACCAGCAGTGGCAGACCTGGGAGACAAATGAATAGAAATGAATCGTCAGCGGAAAAGGGCGGACACCGCAAGTGACAGACCTGGGAGACAAATGAATAGAAATGTTGACAAATGAATAGAAATGTTGCATGGCCAACGGAAAAGGGCGGACACCAGCAGTGACCGACCTGGGAGACGAACGAATAGAAATGCTACATGGGCAGCGGAAAAGGGCGGACACCAGCAAATGGCGGACACCAGCAGTGACACAAAGGGCGGACACATCTTGACAGCAAACTGTTCGGGGAAAAAGTTTGGGGTCACGACAAGCCTCCCGGAAACCCGACTACAAGCACCCAGCCTGGGAGACAAATGAAAAGAAGTGGGAGACAAATGAAAAGAAGTTTTTCTACACACATAAGAGGAAGTGGGAGACAAGCCGGCCGGGAACCCAACCACAAGCAGAAAAGAAGTGGGAGACAAATGAAAAGAAGTGGGAGACAAGCCGGCCGGGAACCCGACCACAAGCACCCAGCC